AGAGAGAGAGAGAGAGAGAGAGATAGGGTCTTAGAGAAAGAAAGGTTTTGGAAGGGAACAGCAAATGAACTGCAGCGGCTGTGGGTGCTACACAACTGAATGTCTCTTTTTCTCTTTGTGTCAACAGCAAGAAACAGAGCAAACAAAGAGGCAGCCCAGCCCAGATGACTGGAACAGCTCCAGCTGGTCGGAACCAGCTGAGAATATCGGCGGTAGGACAGTAAGTCTGCTTCAGGCAGCCTCAAACTAACTCCCTGTTTCCCTGCTTTGGGTTCCTCATTCTCCACAGGTGTAGTTAGAATGACATACCAGCAGATGGCAGAGTGGAACTTCAGAAGTTTGGGATGGGAGACCACAGGGTAAGCCATAGCAGTAGGCTAGACTGCGAAGTACCAAAATACATCCTGGTAGGTTGGTGGGACATTGGGGGGAATGTCCCAGGGATAACAAGGCAACTGTGGGGCGACTGTCCCCCTCAGACCTCTGGAAACGATACAGAAAAGCCCCCTTGTTGTGAGGCATCCAGAAAGTATCCATGATATCAATCACTCCGAGACATTTCTCTCCAATTGATTTATTTAGAAACAGATCTGGCATGTCAAAGGCAATTTCCCAAGTGAAATTATTTTCGCGCTGTTACACAGAATCCACCTTCTCTCGACTTCCGGTTTGGGTTTCTTCGGCGACAGACCAAAATCACGATTGTCCGCGGTTTTGATCTTTGCTCACCGCTGGAGCGCCCCAAGCTGCCCGGATTCAGGGCTGAAGCCACCCTGTAGAGGTGTTGAAGAAGGGGGAGCCGTCAGCGGGGTTGAGGAGAGCCGCATCTCTCCTCCTCGGCTGGCCATTACTCCCTTTCCCAAAGGCGGTAGCAGCGGTGGTCAGAAATGGCCACCTCAAAGAAGAACCCGACCGGACAAGATTGTGCAGGAGGAAGTTTAAAGGAGAAAGTTTGACTGACCAGGTTGAATGGAGAACATCTATTTAAGGTACCTGGAACCTGAATTTTAAAGACTAATACTATTCCTAAAAAAAGATTTTAAGCTGCGAAAGAGAAAAGAAACGGAACTGGCTTTTTTTCCTCTAATATCGACAGTTTTAACTGACTTGGAACATTAAGAAGAAGAGATCCGAGTAAGAAATTGATACTAATCCACTTCGACATTAATAGGCTATTTCTAGCTGAAAATAAAGTGTCAAAGGGATAAAAGATTCTTGGATAATATAAAAACTTTCTTTAAAAAAAAAAGCAGTGGAGTGAAAAAGGGAAAAAAGAGGGTGGAATCTGGAAAATGGAGGAGACCCCCTGGAACTTAAAAAAAAATTGATAGTGGAATTTTAATAAGGCTTGCAAAAAATACATTTGTAGCTGAAACTTTGTTACAAGATCACAAAGCCCCTGGAAAGAGAAATTGAGCAAAGAAGCAAGAAATCATTTTGGATTATTGGATGATTCCTGTAATTTTGGATGGAGGATCCTAAAGAAATAAAATAAAATCAATTGGGGGGTTGTTTAGAAATTTTTTTAAAATGGCATCACTCCTTGAAGAGTTAAAAATGAGACTTAAAGAACGAAAAGAAGAAAGAAGACACGAGACGGAAGAGGATTTTTTGGCTTCGTATTTCAATTTTTAGAAATGGAGATCTTGAACTATGAAAAACAACAAGAAACGCTGGCAGAACAAGAAGGGCGGGACAACGAAGAAGCCATCTTTAATGACCAAGCAATTTTAAGCGGGGTAACAAGGGGAAAGTGGGGAAAGGGAGTTAAAAACTTAAGCACTGAAGCAACAACCCAAAAAAGAATAATTTGAAAAGTAATCATAATATCAGAAGAAGCAGAAGGGAGGATCACAGAAGGGAGAATCAGATAGAAAAGGGAGAAGAAGAGAGGGAAGAGGGAAAGGGAAAGAAGCTACAAAAGACAGAAACAAGATATAGAGGTACAGGAAAAACGTACAAGAATTAAAGGTATAAATCTATTTAAAAGAAACAGAGACAATGGTTAAAATTTAACTTAAGAAGAGGATTCTGCAAGGGTGCATGAGACAGCATTGTTATATTAGAAATAGAGAAGGGTTAGAAAATATGTTAGATGATTAAAGTGATAGAAAAAATTTCTATTGATGTGTAGTGGAATATTTGTTTGTAAAGAGAATAAGGCTCTCTATTTAAAAAGAATGTTTTAAAAAAAGAATCCACCTTCTCTCGTCCCACTTCTACACTTCATAGATCACGAGAACCAATTAACGGCCACTGGAGTTTCTTAATACGACCTACAGAATAACCTTGAACTTTCCAACTCCTCCAACTCTCTTTAAAAAAAATGTGGCAGCTGAATTTTAAAGCTGACACTTGTTTCTTTGTTCCAGAAGTTTCTGCCCTGAACCTCTTTCATGAGGACTACCGTATTTCCCCGAAAACAAGAAGCTGTCTTATATTTTTGTTGCCACCCAAAAAGGCACCAGGTCTTATTTTCAGGGGTGTCCTCCACCTAACTTGGGTGCATTTGCCCCCGGCCTCCTTTTCGCTGTCTAGAGGCCTTCGGGAACAGGTGCAGCCAGCGAGGCCTTCCTGAAGGCCTCTACAGCCAATAACAAGAGCTCTGGATCGATCCAGAGCTTTGTTCTCAGCTCCAGAGGCCTTCAGGGAAACCTTGCCAGCCTTGCCAGCTGCAGAAGAGATGGGCCGGCAGGGCAGGTGTTGAGGTGTGCGAGGCCTGGCTACAACTGTCCAAAGGTAAGTAGGAGGGCAGCTCCACCGCCCCCATCCCCACCCTGGCTTAATGTTTTCCCGTCCAGTCTGGAGTGAGTGGGATCTTCATTAGGGCTTATTTGGGGGGTAGGGCTTATATTGGGCGCATGTGTAAAAATCAAGCTAGGACTTTCAGGGTATTTTGTGGGGAAATGGTAGAAAATTCCCTTTTTAAACATTTCTCTAGAATAGATTTTGCACAGATGGGGGCTTTTGTCTTCCATTTCGTAGGTTACCACCACAGCCTCCGACAGGCAGGACTCGGACTGGAGCAGCTCCGCCTGGGATCTGGAGCCATCCTGGAGCCCCCAAAAGGGGGCGGCTTCCCCCATGGATCCGCTGCCTTCCAGCCTCGGCACCAAAGCAGCTGCAGCCCACCAAGACATCAAACCGGCGAGTGAATATAACTGGGGCAGCATCGGCTCCGGGGACAAATCCGATCTGTTTTCCTGCCTGGCTGGGAAGCCAACGTCGGAGAGGCAGGTGAGTGGCGGCAGCCGGGGATGCAGCCTCAGTTGGGTGGATTAAACCACTGGTCAGGTTCATCACGGGTGGTCGCTAAATGAATCGAGGGCTACCTGTAACTGCTGAAAGTGGCATCGGGGAAGGAGACAGAGGCTGGGTATTCACTTTGCTTTGAGCCAGAAGGTGATTGGGATGGTTTACTAGCCTTGGTTGGCTGGGTTCACGTCACACATGAAGTTAGTTAGATACCAGGTACAGATTAACAGAGTTGGAAGGGACCATGGAGGTCATCTAGTCCAACCCCCCACCCAAGCAGGAGACCCTACACCATTTCTGCCAGGTGCCAGTCCAATCTCTTCTTGAAAGCCTCCATTGATGGAGCTCCCACAACTTCCGAAGGCAACTTCTGTTCCATGAATGGATTGTTCTCCCTGTCAGAAAATTCCTCCTTATTTCCGGGTTGAATCTCTCCTTGTTCAGTTTCCATCCATTATTCTTTGGCCTACAGACACTTTAGTAAATAGCTTGATCCCCTCCTCCTCTCTCTGACAGCCCCTCAAATACTGGAAGGCTGCTCTCCTGTCTCCCCTGGTCCTTCTCTTCCCTAGACTGGCCAGGCCCAGTTCCTGCAACTGTTCATCATACGTTTCAGCCTCCAGTCCCCTCATCATCCTGGTTGCTCTTCTCTGCACTCTTTCTAGAGTCTCAATCTCTTTGTTTATAGTGTGGTAACCAAAACTGGATGCAGGACTCTAGGTGTGGCCTTACTAAGGCTTTATACAGTGGTATGAGTACCTTCCTTGATCTTGATTGTATCCCTCTGTTAATGCAACTTAGGATCGCATTGGCTTTTTTGGCTACTGCTGCACACGACTGGCTCTTATTTAGCTGGTTGTCCCCTAAGACTCCAAGATCCCTTTCCCAGTTACTGCTATTAAGTCTGGTTTCACGTACAAACGTTTAGTTTGAAGGAAGCCCAGCCTGCATTTCAACACTTCACAAACCATAGGTTTTCACCTTAATACAATCCATCAGCTTGGATGTCCCTGTTCTATGAATATAACCATGGTGTCTGGTTAATCCTGGTTTAGCATGTAGCTTCAAGAGCCTCCTTTGTGAAGTTAGCCATGATGGTTAGTAAACCCTCTTTCATTGCTTAGCCAGATGTGAGGATGCAGCCACTTGAGTTTCACCCAGTAAATCCTAGTTAAACTGCTCCATTCAGAAACCTAGTCGCTCAGTATCTTTGCATGGATAAAATAGGGGTTACGATCAACTTTTTGCTGAACCACAGTGGTGATCTGACCCAGTTCCCCAAACACAACATTTATCCCCAGAGCTAGAGTGGGGCTTCACTAGCAGAGCAGTGGCTCTTTTGTCCCAAGGACCGGCCCATAGATTTCCACCGCTCTCCTCTCCTCTGCCTTCTGTGCATCCAAGCGTCAGGCACTGGACTCGGCTGTTCCTCCTCTTTCCCATCAGCCACCTCCAGACCTGGGGGCTGTGGACTCTCCATCTGAGGGCTGATGGACGGCCCAGGCTCTGTCTCTCTCTCTCTCTGTCTCTCTCTCTCTCTCTCTGTCTCTCCCTCTCTCCCTCTCCCTCCCTCTCTCTCGCTCTGCCAGCTCCATTCCCTCTTCCCCCACGGAGCTCCCAGTTTACTCAGATGTTGACTCTTAATTCCCATGGCGGCTCCTCCTCTGATTTGGCTGCTGGAGGGGCCGGTGGCCAACAGGCCACAACACAGGGACTAGAAATGTTAAGAAATGCAACTTCTTCTCCTCTTAAAGATTGACCCGATCGCAATCACGCCCTCAACCTCCAATGTAGAGTTGTCGGGTGGTATAAATGCCAGGCCAGCCTTTAAAACCCGTGTATTCTGTGTTTTCTTAGAAAAACGCCGATGCCTTGCGCGAGTGGACCTTTGAGGAAAACTGGGCCACACTGGACTCCGATCAAGGTACGGTTCCTTCCCATCCGTGTATTTACTCATGTAGTATGGATGTAGTTCAGGTAGTCCCCAATGTATGACCTCAATGGAGCCCAAACTTTCTGTTGCTGAAACATTTGTTAAGTGAGTTTTGCCCTGTTTAAGCAATCGCAACAGCTGTCTAATCACACTTGGCCAAATAAAGAATTCAAGTCAATTCAATTCCAATTCAATTATTATTCCTATTCTATTCTTATTCTGTTCCTATTTCTATTATTCCTTTTCCTATTATTTCTCTTCCTATTATTCTTATTCCTATTATTTTTATTCCTATTCCATTCCATTTTATTCCTATTCTATTCTTATTCTATTCCTATTATTTCTATTCCTATTATTATTATTATTCCTATTTCATTTCATTCTATTCCATTTTATTCCTATTCTATAGCTCGATACCTGTGATTCACTACAAAACTATGTGGCCGGGCTTAGTTTTTTGGGAGGAAAATTAGGGGTGGGGGGGGAAGGCTAGCGTCTTGTCGGCGCGTGAGAGAGTTGAGGGCTGTTTGGAAACTGAAACAATATTTGCTGGGTGAGCAAGATGGAGACAGCAAGGAGCCTGGGCGTGGCTTAGCTCAACTGTTCTGTACTAAAGCTGCTTGGTGCTGTGAAACTAAAACTGAAATTGAAACTCCTCTGCTTGTGTTTTGCATTGGGAAGAGATTTCTTTTCAGGTGGGGAGGGGGAGTAGAACTCCTTAGCATCAGAGTGTAATAATAATAATAATAATAATAATAATAATAATAATAATAATAATA